TTAAGTTCAAAGATTTTACTTCAGTCAACACTGAAAAGAAAAGTAAATATAGATTATACGTTTTTTTATTTATTTTTTTTTTTATTCTTATAGAAGTCAGTTGAATTTTTCCGGTGCGAAAATTCACTTTTTATCCTTTCTTTCCACCTCATTTTATCACATTTCACAAGTCACTTATTTACCTACACAATTTACCGTTTATATAAATCGTCTTTACAATCTTTCGTACTGCAGGCGTAATACTAACAACAATATATAATATAAAATATTATTTTCTCTTCCCTAATAAATTTTTTTTCAAGTTCACTCCAGTGAGCGCGTTCAAGAAAAAAAAATTGTCGCACAAGAAATATTGTTGATCTAAGAACAAAATTATTTTGAAAGAAGCCAAGTCTGTAAAATGAAGTAAAATAAAGGAAATGTTTAATAAAAAAGGTTGAAGGGTTCCAAGATAAGTGAAAGAGGAAGCTTTTAATTTTAGGGTAAAATAAACGCTCGCCGGGAATAATTATCAAGCATTAAACTCAGGCGCCAGTAATTATAACTGACTATGCATCACCTAGTAAACCAAAGTCTTGTATATAATCTCATTAAACTTTTTATTTAAGTCACTATATTTTGTTGGCGCTCTTGCTAAATGTCTGCTGTAAATAAATAATAAAATATAATAGACCCTGAATTTGTCGCAATCAAAACTTGCTGCGGTTTTATACGAAGTTATTGACTGTGGCGTGCTGTGTTAAATTCAAATTTATTCAACGCAACGCAAGAAACATTTAAGAGTAACAATAAGAGAAAACATTTAATTAAATTTTCGCCTCAGATTCTCTTATTTTATTATAATAAATTTAAGTTTCAAAGTTACTAATTCTAACGCAATCACCGGGCTTTAATTACATACAGAGATAGGGTGTACTTCTATTTTTTATAGCTCTAACAAATATTTTATTCTTTAGTATTAAAAATCACCCATAAAAACATACGCGTACGCAATTTTAACAATTATTTAATTTATTAAATTTTAATGAATATTTTTGAACATTCAATAAATATTTATTTTTAAGGAAAGTACATTTATTAACAGTTAATAAATATTTTGTTGAGTAAATTTGTTTCGCTTTAATGTCATATGATATAAAGATTGCTTATAAATAAAAATCACCTTTATAAATTATTTGCATTAATTATATTACATTGTAATAACGTTTATTGTAAAATATCACAGGGAATAATTATTTTTTATATTTTTAAATATTAAAAACGTTAATTTATTTAGTGAATTTAATTATTATCATGCATTCCAGCTAAAGTTATAAAAAGTGTCAAAAGAAAATTATTTTTGCTTTTTATTTTAAATAAATATTTGTTAACAGTTAACAAATATTCATTAACCATTAATAAATTTTTATTAACTGTTAATAAATATTTATTAAATCCTATGCACGGAAAGAACAAGATTATACTGGATATAATCCCAGATTATACTGAGTGAAAAAAATTTCAGATAGTAGCTAGTATAATTCAGATAACAATTAGTATAATCCAGATTACAATGAGTATAATCCATATATTATTCAGTATAATCTGGATTATACTAGCTACCATCTGAAATTTTTTTTTCACCTCAGATGTCACTGAGTATAATCTGAGATGGTATCCAGTGTCATCTTGTTCTTTCCGTGTGATGTAAAAAAATCAGTTAATAAAGCTTATTAAATATAAACAAATCCTTCTATCAGTGTATATCTGTCCACAAATACCGTATTAGAAAAATTAATACTTTTGGATAAATACAGATGGCGCATGATCGGTAAATTATCTCCTTACTAGAAAGTTAAGTTTGGTTACTTTAGAGATAAAATTTTTAAAAAATTTTAATTTCCTACAGAGCTTATCTGAGATTAGTTTTTAGTTTATTCTTTGACAGATTGATTACAAAATAGTAATAAAAAACCAGCTGATCAAGAACTAATCACCAGTTAATTATAATTATTTAAAAATAAAATAATCAGCCACATTTTTTTCCGCATCAGACTTATTCATGCTATCATACGTAAAATTCTTTAGCGCGAATGCGCATGCGGGGCCTTGGATTCTCATTCACTACTCATATCTCTTCTTTTTTTTTTGTTCTCAGTATCAACACTCAAGATAATACTTGTCGAAATAAAATATCATGTAACCAACAATTAGCATTAAATAATCTGTTTTTTTTTTTTTTTTTTTTAATTCCAAAGACCATTTTTTAGTCACACTTTTAAATAAATATTTAAAATTTTACTCACGCAGATAAGAACTGAATATAAAAAAACCTTCAATTAATTTCATCAAATGATAAAAAAATAGACTTTTATTAATTCTAAAAAATTTTAAGTAAAACAGGAAATGATTTAACGCTAACTACAATAAAAAGATAATAAATTTATAAAAAGAAATAATAATAAATAAAACATATATGACGTTTTTACTGATTACTGTAATGACGATTGACTCATTCTCGGTATGAAGTTAGTTGCTTTATTAACTTGACGGTGTATGTAATGCGTTGTTGCGTTGTTGCGTTGTTGCTCTCTGCAGTGAAAAATTAAATACTTTTAATATATAAATTTATTGTAGATGTATTATTTTATTTGACAAGAAATAAGTGATTGAAGATTTATTTTACAAGGGTATTTCTATTGAGCGTGTAAGTAAAATATTGGAATAAATAATTTGTGGAAAATTTTAAATATGTTATATGTGGAGTTAAGTGGAAATTTACGAGCGATAAGTTATCGTTAATAAACCAAATAAATCATTTTGGTAATAAATAAGTCGCAAAAATACGAATATTGATCATTTATTGAGTTAAGGGGTATTAAATATATTTATAAAAATTGGAAAATTAAAATAGTGGACAATAGTTACTGTTGTAATTAGAAAAAATGAAATTTTTTCAGATTCTTATAAGTACTCTCGTGCATAACCTAATCAGCGCTTACATATGTGAAAATTTGTTCTTTTACAGATTCATACACGGAAAGAAATTTTCTTTAAAAATAACTGAGAATATTACGGTAATTGTGAGCCAGTCTGTAAGTTCTGATCTAATTATAATTAATAATAAAATTAATATAAAAAAAGGAATGTACGGTTAATTTTAACTAAAACAGTAAAAAAAATAATTATTAGAAAAAAAAATTGATTACACTGTTAAAAATTTCTATTGTAATTTTACAAGAAATGTATTGGAAGCTAATAGGCAAAACATTTATTTAAAATTACAATCGGGTATAGTAAAATTACAAAACATATATAGCTCAGTGAGGTTACTAATTTTACAAAACGGTTTTGTAATTTTACAAATATTTTTAGATTAGCTAAGTTTGTAAAATTACAATACTTTCCTTGAATTTTACTTGAATTGAAATAATAAAAAAGAAAGATTTGATTTAATATCTGTTGTCATTTTATTTTTATGAAGCGCTGACTAGATTTGGTATCTCACGTAGACCTAATTTGTTCAACTCAGATGATTTAAAGTGAAAATAATATATACCCTAACTAAGAACCGAACCCGAGCCGCGCGCTTGCCAGACCGATACCTAACGCCCTACGCCGTACGACCGATAGGTTATTCAACATCTTAGTATTCTTATAAGCTATAATCCTATGTGGTGATTGAGCATTACGGATTATTATTTATAATTTACATTAATTGTGTTATTTTATGCTGTTTATTGATAGAAAAGTCTAACATATACTCATTCAAATATATTGATTTCGAAATGATCGTTTGAGCACAATATTAAAATTTAATATAGTAAAATTACAAAACATATATAGCTCAGTGAGGTTACTAATTTTACAAAACTGTTTTGTAATTTTACAAATATTTTTAGATTAGCTAAGTTTGTGAAATTACAATACTTTCCTTGAATTTTACTTGTATTGAAATAATAAAAAAGAAAGATTTGATTTAATATCTGTTGTTATTTTATTGTTATGAAGCGCTGACTAGATTTGTATCTCACGTAGACCTAATTTGTACAATTCAGATGATTTAAAGTGAAAATAATATATATACCCTAACTAAGAACCGAACCCGAGCCGAGCGCTTGCCAGACCGGTACCTAACGCCCTACGCCGTACGACCGATAGGTGGTTTTACATCTTATTATTCTTATAAGCTAATCCTATGTTGTGATTGAGCATTACGGCTTATTATTTATTATTTACATTATTTGTGTTATTTTATGCTGTTTATTGATGAAAAAGTTTAACATATACTCATTCAAATATATTGATTTCGAAATGATCGTTTGAGCATAATATTAGAATTTATAAAAGATAAATTATGCCTCGAATTTATTATTACAAATAAACGCAACCATAGACTAAAAATTAGTAAAAATAAATATGAAGGACATTGTTGTTTTTTTGTACATCAGTCTCATTTTTGTAAAATTGAAAAGTATTATTTTTAAAATTAGAAAACGGTGAAGTAGAATTACAATTCGTGTAATATAAATAAAATTTTCTGGTAACATTACATTGTACTGTGTAATTTTACAATGAAAATTGTAAAAATAAAAAAAAGCTTTTCAAATTTTTTATAAGATTATTGTAATATAAATGACAATATTTTTTTATGATTTTACATACAATTATGCCGAATCAAATTACAAATAATGTTTGCAAAATTAAAAAGCTTTTTTTGAAAATTGACGAACAGTTCTGTAATATTACAATGCGTGTTAGGTTTATACAAGAAGATTGTAAAATTACAATACATCTTAGTAGATTTCCTGACAGGTGTTGGAAAGTTACATGAATTGTATTTTATTTAGCATTGCTATACACTGATTTGTAATTTTACATATCATTTGTTTTTGTAATATGATTGTAATTTTACAAAAATTTTTAACAGTGTAGATGGCTAATTATTTTTTACTATTGTTAATATTGAAAATTATTCAGATAAGACCCTAATCTAAAAACTTTAAAGATTTTTTTTAGAAATGCAACCTGATAACGACCCACGACTTCCTACTTACGCAGAAGCAACTAGAGCGCAAGTGAACCACGCTCACGAGCACTATCCAACTACATATCCAGCATACACAAATCCAATATCTCCGTACACAACATCTGAGCTGCCGAATTATTCTCACCCGCCTTCGGTGCCACTCTATCAGTATGAAAATAATCAGTTACCTACAAACACTCCCGCTGCTCAACGAATCCATATAATTACGGAAATAGTCCCGCAATCCAGATCCGTCAGCTGTACAAGTAAATTTTCTTCATAACAGTATAATTAATTACTTTTTTTAAAACTAAGCCGACAATTTTTTTACTTCAGGACGGCATGGAATTTTTTGGGGAATCGTCTTTGGTCTTCTCATCTTTGCCGGCATTTTACGGGTGATAATGTCATATCACAACTGAGGATACTGAGCTTATCAATTGATAATTATTAATTAATTAATATAAATTCGCTTTACAGATGTCATAAGACCGTATAAAAAAATTTTTTTTTTGGGAATCGATGTAATTATTTATTTTTTTTATTATATTGAAAAAAAAAAAAAAACATTTTTTTTATACTGACATAAAAAAATTTCTATTAAAATTTGACCTTTGTAAAAGTATTAAAGTTTTTGATTATATTATAATTACGTCGATTAAAAAAAAATTCAAATTATGAAAAAAAAATTTTTGATACGCCCTTATGGCATCTATAACGCAATTTATAATGTGTAAATAAGCTAATTTTAATATTTTTTTATTTTGTATTTTTACAATAATTATAACATAATATGAAAATGACATTAATCACGAATCTTGGAGCTTAATTTACGGATTATATTATAAAATAATAATAATAATGATATTGATAATAATGATAATGATAGTTATAGTTGGTTTAACTTTGAATAAGCTTTCAAGAGGATAGAAACTACATAGGTATGAGCTTTGTCATCTTAACGAGGTTGTTCTTGATAGTTAAACGAGAGTATACGACACCGATGTATTCGATGTGTTTGGAAACCGGGCTGGAGTAAGTCTGATGCCGGAGCACGCCGATAGGCAGGTAATTAAGATCAAGAATCTCTCCTTCTCTCGTCCCAAAATTTACCTTGATGTTGATGTGTCGTACCGACCCAGCTGGATACTATCCGGCAGAGTTAAGAAACTCTATTTTTTATTCAAAATTATTTTAACTAATTCTTAAATAAATTTATTAATTTTTTTTATTGTAGAAAAATTTTGTGATATAGTTTTAAATCACCAATTTTTATTCAAAGTTATATCAAGGCTGAAATGGGTTTAATTTTTCTCACTAATAAAAAATTCTCATTAATTAAAAATTGTGAATTACCAATAAATAAAATTTTGCTTTATTAAGTAATGAATTTTTTTTTAAATTACACTGTATTTATGACATATATAAATATATGAAAAATTGATGTGGGTACTCAAATGAAAGGTCGTGATGAGCGTAGCATCAGAGTGAGCTTATATCTTTAAAAATGTCATTAGTTGACAAGATAGCAATGTTAGTTTTTAACTATTGACATTTTTAAAGATATAAGCTCATCCCGATGTTACACTCATCAAGAGCTTTCATTTGAGTACCCACATGCATTTTGATATATTTTTCATATATACATATATATAATATATATAAATATATGAATAATTGATGTGGGTACTCAAATGAAAGGTCTTGACGAGTATAACATCGGGATGAACTTATATCTTTAAAAATGTCAATAGTTCACAAGATACAGGGTCATTTTGCTTATTCTCTTAATAATATAGATAATAAAAAAGTCACGTTTAATTATTAAATTATGACATTGCGGTACAAAATAGATTATTTTTAGAAATTATCTTTATACGGTGAATATATAAAATATTTATAAAAGCATTAATTGAAAGAGGTATCTTATCGGAGAGATGAATATGTAAGTGAGGTTGAATTTCAGTGGTTTGAGCCCAGCATGGTCAGCCACCTGTTCACCCAGTGGTTTGTACTAACGGCATTAAACCGTCAGAAATTTCCAGCTAGGTGTATGCAAGTGTAGACGCCCAGTGCCCAGGACAGTCAAGGGCTACCGAGTCCCGTAAGCGCATTATCGTAAGGCGCTTATCCAATTGCTGACCAGCGCAATTACATATATTACGAATAGCCTATGACGCTTTCGGGTGTTATGTCGAACTCACCCTCTTTGGCGTCCAAAGCTCTCGGTCTAGTGTTTGAGACCTCGATTACAAACTTACGCTCACCGTACAGTTTATAATGATGCTATATATTATGTATATTGACATGCACGACTAGTCAATTGTCAAGAGTGTAACAATAAAAATATGCAAAAAGTAAGCCAAAAAAAATTTTTTGCAGAGCTTTGTATTATGACTCATAAAATAGTTGAAAAAGAAAGATAGAAAAAATTTTCTGATAGTAAAGAACTCTTTAATTATCCACGTTAATTAAGAGTCGTCTGAAAAAAACTTGGAATGAATTTTTTCACTTAAAATATACAGTAAAAAAATTTGCATCAAAAAAAGTATGTGTAGAAAATTTTAACGTTAAATACTTTACACTTTTGTCTTTTCATTTAAAACAATTATTTTTAATTAATATAGTGCAAAAAAATTCAAATGTTTATTATAATAATTTTTTTACTTAAATTTTTAGATGGTATTACAAAAAATTTTTCAACTCTTAATAATTTGTTATCACAAAAAATTTTTTTTAATGTTTAATTTACCTAGAACTAACATCCCTTAAACTTAACGAAACCATTAAAAAAATTCACGACGTACAATAAAATAAAGACAGTGTCTGGTGCAATAGCTAAAAGCAATAAGAAGGCAGAGAGAAAGATAGAGAGAGAGAGAGAGAGAGAGAGAGAGAGAGACAAAGTCTTAACTTACTTGCGGAGGAAGACGGAAGAGTTGAGAGTATAGAGCTTTCAACTGCAAGGAAAGAGGAAATACAGGTCGAATAATTCGAGTGGATTGCGTCGTAAAGCGGGGCTCCAGTCAGCTCCAATTAACGGTTTGGTAGCTTTTGTGGTGGTTTGTTACCCGTGTGTCACTTGATTGAACTCGGTTTCTTCAGAGCGAAAGTTCGAGTGGTACTCTGTACTCAGTACTCAATACTCAATACTCGATACTCCGTACTCTCTACTCAGTACCGTCTATCGGTACTTACTTGTGTTCACCTCATTTTAGAGTTCTCTTTCCTCTAGCTGAGCCGTTTTCCCAAAACCAATACTTTTTACTCGCTGAGAAATGTCCTCGTAAAATGTTTACCAAATCTATACGGGATTCAAGATTTGATTCGTTAATAACTTGTTCTTGTTTATTGCATTTTTCAAATAAATTCATTAAAGTAGCTTCATTTTGTATTCTTGTACACAGTTAAAAATTTTTCGTTAAATTTAACTCAAAAATTTGTGTTGATAATATTTTTTACACAATTTGTGTTGAATCAAAATACTAAAATGTTAAATTCTATAGTGTAGGACTAAATCCAAATTCTATTATTGACAAAGTACGAGGAACAGCGAATGTCAATTTTGGTTGATTTTGTACGATTCTTGTATCGTTAACTAATTCCCGGTAACAGTGCTTTTCAATTACAGATTGCTTTTTACTTACTCAAGCGCAAAAAAGTGTATAACTGATGAAATTTTAGAGTGCGAAGCGTCGAGCTATTACTATGAAAAACTATTAATTTATACTGGCAAGTCAAAGTGATCAAAGTTAATATTCGCGGAAAACAAGGCCTGCACTTTTTTGATCAATGTTATTTATAACGAGTATCACATTCATCCGCCTCGCTGCTCGGGGAACTTTTTTTTGTATACTTGTAAATTTAAATGCAAATGTGACTGAAAAAATGAATAAAAAATTTTTTGAACAGTTGAATTTTCGAGTTATTCTCAGAATTTAGAAAAAAGGTTTCATTAATTTTTTAAATCTTCACAGTAAAAAATTTTACGTCAAAAAACTAAATATTTAATTATGTTAAATATTTAATACAGAATTTTTTAACGCAATGCAAAATTTTTTACTGTGTGTAAAAACGTAATTTGTAATTTTTAAATAAATAATAACTATTTTGTTATTTTTATTCATAAAAGAAAATTAAGAATTAACTTTGCGGAATTTTTTTAAATAACCAAAAATTCTTTTTAAAGTAAATTTTTCTCTGCACTGATAGAAGAATTTATTTGTATTAAATATTATTTGTTAATAGTTAACAAATCATTTGTTAGAGACCACTTTTAGTATTAAAAAAATGTTTCTTAGCATTTTTAAAAATTATTTATTTGTATTTAATAAATCTGATATTTATTTATTAAATAAATCTTTTTAAATACTAAGAAATATTTATTTTTTTGATTTTGAAAAAGGACTTTATTTCATAAATATTCTTCTTACCTATTTGAAGTTTTTAAACTATTTAAATAATAAATAATAGTATACTAAGCATTGGTAAAAAATCAAAAATGTGAAAAAAAAAAAAAAAAACCAATTGCAACTGTTACTGGCAAGAAATATTTGTTAAGGACTAAAAAGTGGTCTCTAATAAATGATTTGTTAAATATTAACAAATATTTTTAATTATAAACTAGAAATTTTTTAAAGTGTGCTAGAATTAATGAAAATTTTCTAGATTTTTTTTTAAATAAATTATAATTAAAGAAAAGTATTTTACAAAAATCTAAATAATTTAGCAGTACGGATTTTAAATTAATTTTTTACAAAAATAATTAAAAAATTATAACTGACATACTTAATGTTAACTTTTAAAGTTTAATTTTAAGAGTGATCCTTTTTTTTTTTCTTTAGTACGTATCAAAATAAAAATCTAAAGATTCATCAGAGTTAGATAAAGTGTTGATTACCGTAAAAGCCCGTTAATCGACAATTTAAAGTTTAAACGTAAATTATAGGTAGTTTTACGGGTTTTCAATCTCAGAAGCTGATCTGCCTCGCCGGGGGATATAGAAAAAACCGGATGAAATCATATAGAGAAAAAAGTAGAGGATCCAGGAGAGCGTAGAGGTGAATAAAAATTGCCGATGCCAGTCTCGTTCACGGTTTTTTATGACGGCAAGTGATGAAATAAAACTTTGAATCGTACTCACAACACATCAGATGGACTTAAGAGGGTCGTAAAGAAAAAAGCGGGGGCGGAAAAGGGCCGATTTAACAACACATTGGAGAGTTGGAGATGTTACGTACACCGCGTACCCGATTTTACACTCGCATCCCCTATGTATATCCACGCTTTACTCATTTTATGCTTCACCGTTACCTTGGCTCAACGTTTTAAGTAGAGCTACTGGTGCGAGGTGCCTATCCCGGGCAATACCGGCCCCCTGGGCCTTACTTTAAAAGTCTCTTTTCATTCTGCTAAGGGGGAA